CTCAATGTTAAACATTTTAACAACTTATATTATGTATACCTTGTGGTGACAATAAACTCTGATAGTCCTTATGGTAACACTAATTTCAAAAATAAAATCAATATCTTGAATTTAATTATTATTTATATTACATATTTTTAAAGGTGACCCTGAATTCAAAAATAAAATTTCTGTATTAAAAAGTATTACAACTGATATTATATATATACAGGGTGGCCACGAAAAACTTTTATAAGAAAGAGAATTTTAAAGGAGCTGTGGCCACCCTTATATACCTTGTGGTGACAATAAGTTTTGATTGTGTTTAATATTAAATTTATTCATGATTTATATTAAATATTCCTTATGGTGACGCCAAGTTCAAAAACAAAATCTCTACGTTGAATTTAATTACGATTTATATTCCTACTAAATTCTTAAATAAAATCAATATGTTGATACTAATTATGATTTATATTATATATTCCTTATGTTGACCCTAAATTTAAAAATAAAATTTATGTTAAAAAATATTACAACTGATATTATATATAACTTGTGGTGACAGTAAACACTGATTGTATTTAATGTTAAATTTATTCATGATTTACATTACATATTCCTTATGGTGACGCCAAATTCAAAAATAAAATCTCAATGTTTAACATTATTACAACTTATATTATATATACTTTATGGTGACATTAAACTTTGATTGTATTTTTATGTTAAATTTTATTACTATTTATATTGTATGAATAGCTAAATTGAAAAACTGTCCTGCAAAAATCATGTCTCCTTTTTCAAGTTAGCGATTCCTTAAGGTAACACCAAATTCAAAAATTAAATCAATACGTTGAATTTAATATACCTTGTGGTGACATTAAACTATGATTGTATTCCTATGTTAAATTTTATTACTATTTATATTATATATTCCTTATGGTAACACTAATTTCAAAAATAAAATCAATATGTTGAATTTAATTATTATTTATATTACATATTTCTAAAGGTGACCCTGAATTCAAAAATTAAATTTCTGTATTAAAAAGTAATACAACTGATATTATATATACAGGGTGGTCACAAAATCTGTTATAAGAAAGAGAGGAGATAAGAGGATTTTAAAAGAGCTGTGGCCACCCTGATATACCTTGTGGTGAAAATAAATTCTGATTGTATTTAATATTAAATTTATTCATGATTTATATTATATATTCCTTATGGTGAAGCCAAGTTCAAAAACAAAATCTCTACGTTGAATTTAATTACGATTTATAATCCTTATGGTGACACTAAATTCTTAAATAAAATCAATATGTTGACATTATTTATGATTTATATTATATATTCCTTATGTTGACCCTGAATTTAAAAATAAAACTTATGTGTTAAAAATTATTACAACTGATATTATATATAACTTGTGGTGACAGTAAACACTGATTGTATTTAATGTTAAATTTATTCATGATTTACATTACATATTCCTTATGGTGACACCAAATTCAAAAATAATATCTCAATGTTTAACATTATTACAACTTATATTATATATACCTTACGGTGACATTAAACTATGATTGTATCTCTATGTTAAATTTTATTATTATTTATATTGTATGAATGGCTAACTTGAAAAATGGGACAAGTCCTGCAAAAATCATAAATGTCTCCTTTTTCAAGTTAGCGATTCCTTATGGTAACACTAAATTTAAAAATAAAATCTCTATGTTGAATTTAATTAAGATTTATATTATATATTCCTTATGGTGACACTATATTCAAAAATAAAATTTCTGTTAAACGCTATTACAACTTATATTATATATTCCTTATGTTGACACTAAATTCAAAAAAAAACTCGATGTTGATTTAATTATGATTTACATGCCTTATGGAGACGCTAAATTCAAAAATAAAATCCCTATGTTAAACATTATTACAACTTATATTATATATACCTTATGGTGACATTAAACTATGATTGTGTTTCTATGTTAAATTTTATTACTAATCATATTGTATGAATGGCTAACTTGAAAAATGGGACAAGACCTGCAAAAAATCATATATGTCTCCTTTTTCAAGTCAGCGATTCCTTATGGTAACACTAATTGCAAAAATAAAAACAATATGTTGAATTTAATTATGATTTTTATTATATATACATTATGGTGACACTAAATTCAAAAATAAAATCAATATGTTGAATTTAATTATGATTTATATTATACATTCCTTATGGTGAGACTAAATTCAAAAATAAAATCTTTATGTTAAAGATTATAACAACTTATATTTCATATACCTTATGGTGACACTAAATTCAAAAATAAAATCTCTATGTTGAATTTAATTATGATTTATATTATATATTCCTTATGGTGACACTATATTCAAAAATAAAATTTCTATGTTAAGCATTATTACAACTTACATTATATATTCTATATGGTGACACTAAATTCGAAAATAAAATCTCTATGTTGATTTAATTATGATTTACATGCCTTATGGAGACGCTAAATTCAAAAATAAAATCCCTATGTTAAACATTATTACAACTTATATTATATATACCTTGTGGTGACATTAAACTCGGATTGTATTTAATGTTAAACTTAATCATGATTTTTATTATATATTCTTTATGGTGCTCCAAGTTCAAAAATAAAATCTCTATGTATTACAACTTTTATTATATATATCTTGTGGTGATATTAAACTCTGATTGTATTTTTATGTTAAATTTTGACATTTATACTATAAATTCTAAATGGTGACACTAAATTCAAAAACAAAACCTTTATGTTGAATTTAATTATGATTTATATTTTTATGGGGACGCTAAATTTACAAATAAAATCTCTATGTTAAACATTATTACAACTTATATAATTTTCTGGTGGTGACATTAAACTCTGATTGTATTTAATGTTAAATTTTATCATGATTTATATTAAATATTCCTTATGGTGAGGTCGAATTCAAAAACTAAATCTCTTTGTTAAATATTATTACAACTTATATTATATATACCTTGCGGTGACATTGAACTCTGATTGTATTTCTTTGTTAATTTCTACTGATTATATTATATATTCACAATAGTGACACTATATTTAAAAATAAAATGTCTATTTTGAATTTAATTATGATTTATATTATATAGTCCTTGTGGTGACGCTAAATTCAAAAATTAAAAAACTTTATATAAAATTTTATTACTATTTATATCATATATTCCTTATGGTGACGCTAATTCAAAAATAAAATCTCTATGTAAAACATTATTATAACTTATGCTATACCAGTGACGTATCCAGGAATAATTTGGGCATACCGGTCTAAAAGTTCTGCCTATCTTTGAGGACCTTTTTTTTTTTTTTTAACTCAAATTTAAATACAGTTCTTCGTATATAATATATAATGATTTATCGCTAATCGCTACTTTTCATTTACTTGCTCCATACACTTACTATTGATAAATTAATGCTAATTATTAAATAATTAAATTCCAAATATTAAATATTATCAACTAGAAATAAAAAGAGTATGATTTCATAAACAAACAATGGAGGAGAAACTCATATTAATGTATTTTAAAATGTTATTTAAAAATGCTAAGCGTTTCATATTTTAATCCAATCAAAACGTGCATTGTACATTTAATCCAATTTCAACATATTCTATATTTCATCAACGTGAATTCGAATTAAGCATTTTGGTTGGCTTAAAATACATTTATAATGTATTTTAAGTTTTAAAATACTGTACTTTTAAAATACATTTATAATGTACTTTAAATGTGACTTTTATAATACACTTATAATGTACTTTAAAAGTCGTTTTTTAAATGTTGATATTTATGTAATTGTAACAAATGCTAATATAAAAGTGTTTTAAATTAAGTTTGGGCTGAAATTTGGGGGCCCATACTGGTATACCGGTATCAAAATCGGCCTGGATACGTCGCTGTATACATACCTTGTGGTGACATGAAACTGTGATTGTATTCAATGTTAAATTCATAGATCCTGGTCATTTTTTAAAAATCCGGAAATTGTTTCGGTAAAATATGCGGAAAAAATCTGGAATACCTTTTCCCTAATATTCCCCTTAATTTTGATTTTAGCTGAGTTGTTTCCAATTTTTTTTTTTTTTAATTTTATTAATTCTTGTATGAGCAATGAGTAAAAAATTTAAAAAAACATCAAATATGTTACATTAAATATATTACAAAAATATATACCTAAACTTATATGTAAAGAAAACATTTTGGATATCTGTAAAAACTAAAAGTTGAGAAAAATATCCGCAATTGCGGAAATATCTGGAAAAAGATAATCCCTGTAATCATGATTTATATTAAATATTTCTTGCGGTGAGGTTAAATTAAAAAATAAAATCTCTATGTTAAATATTATTACAACTTATATTATATATACCTTGTGGTGACATTTAACTCTGATTGTATTTCTATGTTAAATTCTACTATTTATATTATATATTCTTAATGGTGACACTATATTCAATAATAAAATCTCTATGTTGAATTTAATTATCATTTATATTATATATTCCTTATGGTGACGCTTAACTCAAAAATAAAATCTCTGTGTTAAACATTATTACAACTTATATTATATATAACTTGTGGTGACAATAAACTGTGATTGTATTCCTATGTTTAATTTTGTTACTATTCATATTATATATTCCTTATGGCGACGCTAAATTTTAAAATATAATCTCTATGTTAAATTGTATTAATATTTATAACCTGAAAAGTTTTTATGATGCCATTTTTTACTGAACTAAATTCATTAATAGAACTAAATTCGTTAATATTGTTATAAGAATAAGAATATAAATGTTAAAATAACTAATATAAATGTTAATACTGTAACTATCATTAGGTATATATACACCATGTATATATACCTAATGATTGAAATTTTTAATAAAAAATAAATATTTTTACTTATTATACAAGAAGCTAAAGTAACCAATACCTATTTTATCATTAATTTTTGCTAATAAAAACCCCTCTTGATCTTGTTTAGCGTTTACATACTTTGCTACAATATCTTCTTTCTTACAACGTTTAAAGTGACCTAAAATTTACATATATTTATTAAATTCAAATATAGGAAAAATACTTATGAAATTTTTACTCATTTATAGAGTATTTTATTTTACATAACTTCAATTTGTTACTTATTATTTTTTAAGATTTGTAAAATCAAAAAAAATAAGCGAACAAATAATTGAATATTACAGGGTGTCCACCTTTAAGATATTTCCGCAGAGGTACTAAATATAAAACATAAACTCTCAAACATACACTTTTAAACATGAAAGTATTTAATCTGAAATTTGATAAATAAAAATATTATTATAAAAACAAAATGTATTTAAATAATCTTAAACATTATTAAATGTTTATTGAATATTAAACAGGAAACATATATTGACAAAAAAACATTATCCAGTTTTTCTAGCATTGGCGATGCTAAAAACTATAAACTGTCTAGTTTTCCCAGTATGATTTTAAAAAACATTATTATGTATTATTTACTTGTTAATTTATTTTTAATTAAATAATATTATGAATAATACTATTAAAAAAATATTATATATTAGAAAAATAAGATTGTATAAAATTTTAAAAAAATAACATTTTCCTGTCCTGCTTTACATTTTATTTTAATGAAATTACAATATTTTATTTATGTATAGCATATATAATGCTGGCTGTATATAAATTACACAAATAATTATAATATATAATGTGGCATTATATATTATACAATAAAGTATTCGAATTAATTGAAATGCTTTAATTTATAATATATAATGTCACATTATATATTTCAAAACTTGTAATATTAAATTGTTATAATAAAACCTTACAATGACATTGACATATGATATAACAGTTATATTGAAAGTTATCATGTTAGATATATATCAATAGGCGTATATTATGCTATATTTTATCTAATGAATAGTAAAATATAAACTTGTTAATGTTAACTTTTCAGCAAACTTGTCAATCAGCAAAATTGTAAAGTTAACAATCTTAATGATAGTTTGTCATTTTATTTAATTAAATGCCACTTAATTAAGCAGTCATTAAAACTGCTACACATAAATTATATAATACCCATGTTATATTCCATTAGATTAATATATACTATTTATTTGACTTAAGTTTCTTTTTATAATAAGATTGAAATATTATTAGTTAAAATACTTTAGAATATATTATCTATTATGGCTTAGGGCATAAGAAGAATTTATAACACTATTATAAATCTAGGATCCTACTATTATAAACAGTAGGAATCCTAGATTTATATAATATAAAAAGTTTACTCAATTAGAATTATCCTTGTAGGACAAACTTAATTAAGTTAATCATATTCTTAATCATATCCATATTATATTCTTAAATATTATAACTAGTACGTTAACTTATTATTAGTATTGTCATGCATTACAATATTAATAATAAGTTATGTATTGTAAATAATTAACAATAAGTATATAATACTAACAACAAGTTATGTATTAACAATGTTATTACAATACTATTGTAATATCATTACAATACATAACTTATTTATGTATTTTTACGTAACCAAGTTATGCATGTCTTAATAAATTTTTTCAAAATCATTTTTAATAAATCATTTAAGTAATATAATTTAAAGGTTATATTATCCTTTTAATGCTCTTTGAGTATTTTATAATATAATAATACAAATTCTGCAAGTTATGTAAGTAAAATATTTTATAACAGTTTAGCTGATTAATTAGCATGATTTTAAAATAACCGTATTTCCTGTAATATAGGTAAACACATTGCCATTTATTTAATTATTAATAAATAAGTTCACAATATGTAAATAAACTCACTGCTCATTTTATAGATCTCGCTTTATCCAACAGTGCAAGTCATGCAAGGTACATGCGGCTACATAGATTGAAATACGGAAAATAAAAATTTGTATATCTTTTCAAAGTCCATTTGCTGCTCAGGCTGCATTGTAAATTTAAATATATTACTTAAGTTGAGTAGCCTAATACCTAAGTTGCTTCAATTTTTCATAAAATGTTTGATATATATCCGTTAAAGTCCTTGAAAACAAGTATGAAACTTGGTGTCGCCATATGGCAGCTTTTAATCGCTTACGCGAAAACTTAAATTATACATCGTGATTTTTACTTCTGAAATAACTTTTTTTTTAAATAATCAAAAGTACAAAAAAATTCTTTCAGTGTTTCCTTAGACCTATATCTTTAAAAAGGCACATCGAAATATTAGTTTCATTAAGCATTTAACTCATAATTTACAAGTAAAAACGTTAAGGTGACCGTAAATAGTACCCATAACACAACTGTTGCTTTATGGTACGTTTTTTTAGCACGATTTGTCACCATTGCGCAGCTCTAGTGATATATATATATATATATATATATACATATCATATATATATATATATATATATATATATATATATATATATATATATGTATATATATATATATGTATATATATATATATATATATATATATATATATATATATATATATATATATATATATATATATATATATATATATATATATATACATATATACAAATACATATATATATATATATATATATATATATATATATATATATATATATATATATATATATATATATATATGTATTTGTATATATATATATATATATATATATGTATATATATATATATATATATATATATATATATATATATATATATATATATATATATACAGGCTTGGTCAGGAAGCGGGAGCGATCGCTCTCGATTGCTGACCACGTAAATAATATTTAGTTGCGAAAAGCTGGCCAGATTTTTTAGTCGTTTTGAGAACATTTTAGAAAGCGAAAAAAAGAAGCGCTAAAAATTAATTGGACCGATGAGAGACAATTACAAAAAAAAAAAAAAAATAGGTAAATAAAATATCTTTAAACGCGAAAAAACTTAAAGCTAAATAAATTACGTTTAAAACAAATATTTTTAAAACATCGCTCTTTTTTAATTTTTTTTAGAAAATTAAGCGATTTTTTATATATAAAGTAACAACTTACGATTGTTTAAAAAGAAACTAAATAGTCTTTATTTAACAAAGTTTGCAAGTTTTAGTTTTACTTTAGCTAAATTATTTTATAAATAATAAAGTTAATCTTTCCAATACCTGTTTTATGTTTCTCGTAGTTTGAAAAGCTTAACATATTTGAAGCAATTCTTCATAGTAAGATAAACAATTAAATCATAGAAATTAAATTAACAATATAAAAATCAACTTAAGGTTAACAATACTTTATGACGAGGAAGCGAAATTGCTTCACAATATCGCTGGTGATGTTTAGTGAGTGGGCTTTTTAGTTTTAATTGGTATTTAAAGCAGAAAAAACTATAACGAGTTTTTAGAATGGCAACTTAATCAAAAATAATTGGAGCTAGTAAACCAATATCTAGTAACTTTACTTTATATCTAATTATTTGCTATATATATTTGTGTTCTGTCGTGACCTTAGGCACGGTGCTTGTTCGTTTGCGAGTTAATTTGTGCGCGTTGTTTATGTATAGTAACTAGAAACTTCTTATATGTTTGTTACGTAATTAGTTTTATAAACTATAACGATTATAACTTCATTGAAAACGCAATTATTTGTGTAAGTCTTTGTTTAAATCGTAAAAATTGCTTTAAAAGATACATTACATTAAAAAACAGATAAACAAAATTAAATTTAAATAAAGAATACATATTTTTTAAATAAAAAATAGGAATATACTAATAAAATCTATAATTTATAATAAACTTTAAAGATTTTGACAATTTAAAATATATTTAAAACTTTTATTTTTGTAAACAAATAATATATTTATTCTTAAAACAATTTATGCAATAAATCTCGAAACGTTCTAAAACATTTTTTAAAACATTTCAACAGAATACTCTAGAACTTTATTTCGCTAAGTCAACATATTTTTTGAACCAATATAATTAGTTTCTTCGTTGAATTGGCGGGTTTTTAGTGTTCGCAAATATTCTTTTTATTCTTTCGCACAAAGATGTTTGGGAACATTCAAGTTTATTATGTTTCCATGTATGTCCGTAAAACAAAAAAATTTTTGTTTTGTACATAAATTTAAATGTTATCAAAATGACTAAAAAAACCTGGCCAGTTTTTCGCAACTAAATTTAATTTCCGTGGTCAGTATACGAGAGCGATCGCTTCCGCTTCCCGACCAAGCCTGATATATATTTATATATGTATATATATATATATATATATATATATATATATATATATATATATATATATATATATATATATGTATATATATACATATATATATATATATATATATATATATATATATATATATATATATATATATATATATATATATATATATATATTTAATTATATATATAATATGAATCTACTAAAGCAATTGCTCACCTTTTTTGTTAGCCGAATTTAAGTGAGCGTTTTTAAAAAAAGATGAGGGAAACAAAGAATAATGAATGAAATGGCTGCTGACCCATACCAAACCCTCAGTCGATGGAGCAGCACCACACTGCAAGTCAGGCTATTTGTCAGTCGATGTATGTACTGAAGCCCCCGGCAGCAGGCTATTTGACGTTAGGTGAGTATGACATCATCATGCTCACCTAACTCAGCATAAAATATATATGTATATATATATATATATATATATATATATATATATATATATATATATATATATATATATATTTATATATATATATATATATGAATATATATATATATATATATATATATATATATATATATATATATATATATATATATATATATATATATATATGCATATATATATATATATGTACATACAAATATATATATATATGTATATATATATATATATATATATATATATATATATATATATATATATACATATATATATATATATATATATATATATATATATATATATATATATATATGTATATATGCACATATATATATATAACAAAATCCTGCAAATAGCATATTCGCACACTTGATTGTATTTGTCAATTTCTCACCAAAAGTACTGCAAAAATAATTGCCAATAGAATTGTAAATTTTCCACTTGATTACTGTAATATTGTTTTATCTGGAATTTCTTAAAAAAATTTATACAAATTTCAACGTATTCAAAATAAGTAAGCTTGTGTTATTTGTCACTCTCCTTTCCGATCTCAATTTGAAAACTTGCTTTAATTTCGCCATTGGTTACCAATACGCCAAAGAATAATTTACAATAATTTATATAAAACTATATCAATCAAGTCTCCTACATACCTTTATGATCTCTTTAAAATTCAAACCTTCCAGCTCCTCAACACAAGATCATCAATTAATGCTTGTTTATTAAAGCTTCTGAATCTGTTCATCATATTTATGACTGTTGTCAAACTATGGTACTTTAATCTCTAATTTTTATAATTAATAATATTATGATTATATACATATTATAATATATATATATATATATATATATATATATATATATATATATATATATATATATATATATATATATATATATATATATATATATACATATATATATATATATATATATATATATATATATATATATATATACATATATATATATATATATATATATATATACATATATATATATATATATATATATATATATACATATATATATATATACATATATATATATATATATATATATATATATATATATATATATATATATATATATATATATATATATATATATATATATATATATATATATATATATATATATATATATATATATATACCACTAGATCAACTTTGAGTCGACAGCAATAAAATACCCGCGGAAAGTCGACTCCTCAAAAATCAGTATAACTTAATCAATCTAATTTTTTTTTTTTTTCAAAAATTAATGAATTGGCTTCTTGTTCATTTGGGAATTAAATATTTTTAAACTTTTCTTCAATTTTCAATGTGAAGTCGACTTAACGTTTTCGAGAAATTTTTTTTTATTAAAAGTTGACTTTATTTTTTTTTTTATTAGATCTCCTCAAAGTCGACAATAAAAAAAATGCGCTTCCCGCAGGATAACAATTCTTATAAATACACAGGCCGAGGTGAAAAAAAGTGTGTATTTTTGTGTCACTGGTATCACCGTGCTCCACAAAATTAATTTAAAGGTTTTATAAATGAAACTTTAAGGGAAAAAGTTAATTGAAAAAATATTATTTCAAAGTATAAATTTTATTCGGAACTGTTTTAAATTAACTTTAAAAAAATAAGTTTTAATGTCGTTAGAACTTCGGAAAAGGTTCGCATCTTTTATGCTATTTCGTTAATGATTTTGTTTTCAACAGTGTCTGGGCCAGATCCGTATTTTGATCCAAACTTAATAATATCTTGTCGACCTGAAATAGAAAAGATATGTGCTGTAATTTTTGCTGAAACTCCAACCTGACTACTAATATCAGGCAAACCTAACAACTTTACTTTAATTGTATCTGTAGGAATTAAGACAGGAAATGAACAACTAAACCCTCTTCCAGACTGATAATTAATCTTGATTCTACATTCAAATTGATTTTTAGATAATGCATTTTTTATTCTTTGTTCATTTAATCATATATTGTTCAAGGCATTTTTATGTTCTTTACTTGTAAGTCTTGCAGGTAACTTGATACAATCATAGTTTCTTAATTTAATAAAGGAGTGTGAATCAGTTATTTCCTATTTCCTAGTTAATCTCGCATTCTATTTAGTCTTGTTTTCTATCTTGTATTCTATTCTATACCAGTAGTCATGCATTCTCCTAACTAAACTATTGTAGATCACAAATATAAGAGTGTTTTATCCACTACAATATGGCGAACAAAACCATCTTGTCAACTGTTAAATAAGTAATAATAACTATCTTATAATATATAGATCT